TTTGTATGTGTCTGATCGAAACTGGGCCCCACTGCCGCCTGGGCCACAGCGCTCCTTCCCGTCGACCGAGCTGAGATCGAATGGCCTTTGATGTTGTGGGGGGGAGGGAGGAGATGATGGAACGGGGGGCGACCCCATCCGACAATCTCCCCTCGAGGGCTGACCCCGGCGGGCGGGTCCGGATCACGGCGCCTCGCCCGCGCGCTGGGGTGGGGAGACAGATGTGTACGCCCCGCATGCGCATGCGTGGGAAATCCGGCATGGATTCCGTCGGTGGATCGGTCAGCATCTCCAGCTGGAGCTGAGCTCATCGGGACGCTGAACCGAATCAGCCTGCAGGATTCACTCCACCCCACCCACCGACGGACGGAGATGTGCATCCATCCGGTTGATCAGGACCTTCAGCCGGCATCAGCACAGAGGCCGTTGCACCAGAGGTCGTCTACGACGCCCACTCACCCGGTCCATGTGTGTGCGTGCGCGCGCCCGTGCGTCTATATATACATATACATATACATATATATATACATATATATATACATATACATATACATATATATATACATATATATATACATATACATATACATATATATATACATATATATATACATATACATATACATATATATATACATATATATATGCTACGTGCGCACAGGCGTGCGTCTATATATACACATACACGCGCGCGCACACACACACGCACACATATATGCCATGTGCGCACGGGCGGGTATATGTGCGATGCGCTGTGGGTGGGTGGGTAGGCATGCACATGCGGTGCGCAATCCACATTGGCGAGATCCACGGGCAGCTTGTCCTGACATCCACAGCAGAGTGAGGAAAAGGCGTCCCGTCCCATCCCTCTCACCGGGTTCGGTTCAAGGCTCCCATCCCAGGTCTTGGACCGACTGTAGACGCCGTGTCTCCCCGCCTACAACTACCCTCCGGAGCCATTTTGTCAAGCGTATAAGATAGGTGATATACGAAGATGTCCTATACGGACTAGATAGGGAGATGATGTACCAAATAGGAAGGCAGTGAAGTGAAAATAGATAATCCTCTGTGAGGTAGATTAGTGATGATTATTTTCTTGAGCTATTTCTATCAGTGAACCAAGCATTTTACCCTTCTTTTATAGAGGTACGAGATGACTGATATCCTACTGCTGATACCGCTCATTCTACATACAAATCTAGCCTGAATGGGCAACAACAGGCGGAATAGAAAAGCTACTCCGTAAACGGAGCACTGAAAAGATGAAATTTTTTGGGATGAAAAGCAGGCACGCAACTGCAGTACCTTGGAACCAATGATACGGTCCGCCACAGGAGCTAGATATCTGCCGCGCGCTGATGTCTCATCCTCTCACCCGTCTTACATACCCCCTAAACTTGATGCGGTTGCTTCAGGTGGTAGTGATGTCTATCTCGGCATTGATATTGACTAGATTGAATTTGTTAAATGAATGGGGCTGTTTTCTCTTCACTGGGTGCTTTGATAAGTCTGTCAGATTCAGATCAGGTTGTTACGGCGCAGTCGCTGGTAATATGGGATAAGGTTGATCCGTTCAGACTCCAACCAAATTCGGTTGCTTATGCTGATCCGCTCCAATCCTCAACTGCCTATATATATTCAGCTGCTCGTTCATTCTCATATTCTAATCCCCAGTTTAGTATTCTCGTCGCAGCTACATAGTTAGATAGATGAATTGAGCTTTTGTCTTGTTATTATCATGCCTCTAGACAGAGCCATGACACTGGTCTTTTGATGAACTTCATGGATTTTTCATTAGGAGATTTCCATCCTGCTTGACGTGTAGATGATGATTGATTGAGGAGATAGAACACTGCATGAGCTATTCCAGGCCAAGGATTCTGTGGTAAGTTTGCTGCTATCTGCAATGTTTGACCCATTGTTATTATCATACCCCCTAAGGGCTCTGCTGCGCCGTTCTATTGAGGTGTATGAGATGTTGAGATCTCGACCAGACTTCCTTTATCTTTGACCCATTGTGAGAGATATTGGTTGGTAACAGAGCCGTCAATATGTCTGATATCCTTCCGATCATGGAGTAGAACTTTTGGATTTGGTTGTCCTAGTTGTTTATGCCACAGTAAGGAGGTGGCCGATGTGGGGGGGTCAAGGTAGAGATAAACTGCAAAGACAGATTCCTGCTCAACTGGTTTGTATTCAAGCACAAATTTTCATGAATCCGTTGCAGGTAAAATCGAATAGCTCCAGTTCTTGTGGTTATGGTGTGATTTAGTTCATTGGCCATGAGGCCAGCCTTGTTGAAAAAGAGGGCCGCTGCGATGTTGGTATGGAAATTTGAGATATAAACTGTGTTTAGCAAAGTAATCTCCTCCATCCCAGCGGCGCCTTTGACGGTGAGTTTAACATCACCGCGTCCTTTGACCTGAATCTCTGAGTTTCCCGTTATAACTGTCAAATTGGTTTCCTTGTTGGCAAAGCGGGATAGATCTTGCATACATGACAGTCAGCGCCTGTATCATATAAGAAGCTGTTCTTCAGTGCATAGTTTGTTGGTGCAAAAATTGATGGGATGAGAGTTGAGGTCCCATTATTGCAAATGCTGTACGGAGAGTTGAATCCTCATCTTCTTTTTCAGTAGGCGCGACAGCCGTTGTGATGGTAGTAGTGGATCGAGTGGTGGTGTTTTTCTTATCCTTCTTCTGTTTCCAGTTCATGATAATATTATTGACAATACCTGGTAGTCTGTCATTTCTCTTATAGGCCTCTTGAATCTTTGTATATGCTTCGGCCTTCGGATTGAAGCCAGCAGGCTGACTTCAGTGGGGATTAGGATAGTAGCAGTCAACGAAACGGTGCTTATTCCCACACAGACAGTTCTTTTCATTGATTGTGGCGTCCTCAGTAGTTCGGGGGTTATTCATTGATTGGGTGGATTGGCTCTGATATGTTGCTGCAGAGAATACAGAGTTCTTGAGCATTGACTCAATTTCATCCTCAATGGTAGTGCGATGGTGATCTCGGTAGTTATTGATAAGTTCTGTCATAGTGATCATTGGTTTGTTCTTGCGATTTCGTTTGACAATGCTTGTCCGCTCAATCTCAGCGAACATGGGGTCAATGGCTTTGACAGCATTGATGAATTGATGAAGATTATCTTATACATCTGTGAGTGATCTGATGTCCAATTGAATGATATTTTCTGTGACAGATCTCCCAGTCACGGATCCATTGAGTAATCTCTTTGTTCTTCAGGCCCAAGCAGAGAGATTCTAATTCGATTTGGATGTCATGTTGACGTTGTCGAGTACTTAGTGCGATCGCCTCTTTAAGGATGAGAATGATATCTCTAGGGTTGTCCTTGCCTTTGGTAATGGTGTAGTCATCCCTTGAGAGGTGTTCCATGATGTAGGCATGCATCAGTTTCTTGTTCTTTATGTAATCATCATACGCTTTGGTTTTTGAATGATGCTCATATACGAGCGTGCTGTGCATATAAACAGGAACTGACTCCGCCGTTGTAGTGAAACTGCCTGGATTCTCTGGTGGAGGGATTTCCGTATCAAGATTGATATAAGGGCGGAATTCGATTGAGTCCATGTAAGATTCTATGACATAGAGCCAGTCATCCCAGTCTTTGGTCTCGCTGAGATAGATGATATTTTTTGAAGTTGACATCTTCAGATAAAGGCGCCGAAGCAGGAACCATTTGATATCTCTGTTTATCAGAGTCGTTGCTACCGATTTGTTTCGGCAACTAAAGCTTTGCTGGGCACTAAGTGATATCTCGGCTACCACAGCTGTAATAATGAGTTTCAATTCATTTTCCCCTCTGCAGGTGAAATAAACTCGATATCCGCTCGGTAGTGGCGGAGGACAACGCAACTGTGCCGGTTTGGTGGTGCCGACAGCTCACCACTGTTGGAAATAAGCTGAATTTTATCGGCTTTGAAAGAATAGTAATAGAGGAGGTGAATAATCCTTCTTAGAGGAATTTAGTGGTGTGGTGATGGCGAGAGTCGCCCGGGCTCATAACTATCAAACGAAAGGCGAATGTTTGAGATGGAAGCAGCCGGTAAGACGCATGCAAACGCAGCACGTTGGATCCACGGTACGGTCCGCCACAGGCGCGAGGTATCTGCCGCGCGCCGTATTTCACCCGTCTTAGACATTCACTAGAGCTCCAGCCGCGTGATCCATCATTGGCAACCACTCAATCCAGTTGTCCTGATAGTAGCTCACATACGGACGGAGCTTGGTTGCCAGATATTGATTGACAATCTCAGTTTAACCATCTGTTTGTGCATGATGAGATGATGAGAATTTCAGCTTGATCACTAATAATCTGGTGAACTCATTCCAGAAGCCTGAGACAAACTGTGGCCCTCAATCTGACACAATAGAATCCGGCGCTCTGTAATACCCATAGTAGCGCTCCAAGAACAGCAGCGGATTGCGTTGAGATGGGCGAGCTGCGTGTCGATGTTGCGCAGCAGGGTGCAAAATTCCACGTAACCAGCGGGACGGGTTGTGCCCACAAGGCGTTCGAGGTAACGCAGGTTGACCGAGTTTTCCAAGTAAACTAATCTTGACGGCGTCGGCCCGGAATCCGCCGTTAGCTTCAAGAAGCTTCTGGTCGAACAAGGGCAGGAACTCTGTCAAGGGCTTAGGCCCTTGCTTTTGAGGTCTGCAACCATTGCATCGCCTTATTTGCACGCGCAGGGTCGAGGAAAAGCTTGTCTAGCTGTCCAATAACAGCTATTGGCGTTCGTAATTCTCGGGCGGTATGGAGAGGCCATGGGTAGAAGCGTTTTAAGGCGTCTTCTCTGAGCCGGCTGCATATGTAGGCAGCCTGCGCAAACCCGTCGCCGATAGCTTCTCCGTCAACAGTCTGCTTGGTTTCCATATTAAACTTCCACGGCCAGTATCAAGACAGGTTAGAGTCGTTGAAGATTTCCACGTCTGGGAGACCGGTCTTAGACCTTCCGGTAGTAACAGGAGTCGGGGCAGCAGGAGGTGGAGGAGGCGCAGGTGGAGCCTGTGCGGGCTGAGCAGAAGAACTAGCTACCCGCAAGGCTTCGATCTCTTGCTTCAATCGTTCCATTTCAACCATGTATTCAGCCACGGTAGGCTGAGCTATAGGCTCGGGGTGTTGTTCGTTAGATGGCGGAACGCCCGCCATGTTCGAGTCGGGGTATGTAAAAGGCTCCATCGGTGGAGGTTTCTCTTTTCTGAGTTTTTGCTTGAGAGCAAGGTGACTATGGAGAGGTTCGAGGACCCGACGTTTCGTAGTTTCATTGAAATATGGAGTCTTTTCAGGTCAGATCTGTTATGATGTCTGAGAAGTTTTCCTCAATTAGACTGTCCACCTGTTGATCAAGTTCCTCCACTTGCTTATTATTCTCATCTCATTCAGCCTTAACCCTCTAAGGGGCACTGCCTCGTGCTTCGTCCATGAGGTTGGCGATTTCTCGATACACGCTCTTATTTGTAAGTTTGACTTTGAATTCATTGATTTCGTGATGGCATCTTGCATCTTTTTCTTTAGAGATTCATCCTCCAATGCCTTGTTAATCTTTTGACGTATTTCCTCCTTTTTCTGCCATTCTGCCAATTCGCCAGTTCCAGGGTGAGGTTTAGATAATAGCATTTGATCTAGCTATAATACTTAAATCCGCAGAGGTATGGTTCTCACTCACAGCCAGAAGACTTGACTTTTTCCATGGAGTGTGGTGAATGAGTCTAGGTAAGGATCTTTTGTTATGCCAATCTCTCTATGTCATCTTCTTGCAGACAGTAGAATCTCATCAAAGGTCAGTTTGTTGTCCATATCTTTGTCAATCTCTCTTAATCAGGTTTCTGAGAAAGCTGGGTTCAGAGGCATATTGGCATTTAAGAAGTTGTGTTTGACATTAAATTGAGCCAAAATTCCCGCCTTCTTTAGATTTCTCTCTATTTGTGACCACTCATCCAACAACTTCTTAACTTCTATGTTTTTTGGTGTCCTTTTGGGGTTTGTGTGTCTCGTTTGGGGCTCTGACTGAGTCTTCTTCATTGGGGCAGAACCTCTTTTTCAATGCCAAAATTATATCCTTGACATCATCCTTATATTCTCAATGAGAGCTAGTTCCTTAGCTGCAACCATTCACCAGATCACGTCTCAAACGGAGGAGATTTCAGGGTGATTGCAGTCATATGCAGAGAGCTTGTTCCTAAAATCTGCATTCTGCATATTGAATTGAGACTTCACTGCAGCATAATTTGCATCATTGTATGACAGATTTGGGAATATCAGTGCTTTTGGTTCTGGGACTTCGCTGAATCTTGCCGTCTTTTTAATGTTGATAAAGTCCAGTCCAGTACCTTCCGTTGGCGGGCTGCGTCCTTTACATATTTGTACAAAAGTTCCCAATCCCTGGGAGTCTGCAAGGTGACAGTCATTCTCGTAACTGTCTGCTCCTCTGCCATTTTGGTGGTAAACGCGCGTTTTTTGGTGGATATTGGGCGACTGTTTTTAAGCGGGTGCAGGGGCGGCTATCTGACGGCTAACTAGCGGGTGGCTACCGGGCTCATAACTATCAGGATATCCGAATAGCTATGTTGTATCAAATTGAGCTGTATATTCTCCGCATATATTTTCTAACTAACTGCTAGTAAAATAGATGGTAAACAGCAGAAGGAGAATGTGCGCGGCTGACTAGGCGACTAAGCGAATATACGGATCATTGCCAGAACCTGACACGTAATCTCTGATATTATACTGTTCAAGAAGTGAGATATGAAAGACGGGGTAGATATCACGCATTGAGCGCGGAAGAGAGAGTTTATATGCCTGTGTATTCCATGATTCAATAAATTGAAAATGGTCAACATATTTATGGTCCAATTTCCTAGCGGGGAGGAGCATGCGGAAGTTTTTCGCATTAAGAAGCACCCAGTCACCCACATGGAAGCGTTTTGCACTGTGTTTGGAATCATAGTACGCCTTGTGCGCAGACTTGGCCTTTTCAAGTTGTTTTTGAATCTTTTCCCGCATTGCTTGTGTTTCTCTGGCCGGTCAATCGCCTCAACTGAGCTCGAGTAAGGCGGATTACTCATCGATCCGGAGGGTAGATCTGTAGCCGAGAAGTGCATGCGCTGGAACTTCGTTGGTTGAGCTATGTCACAAATTGTTATAGACAAACTGCGCTAAAGGCAGCCATCTAACCCAGTCATCCAGGTGGAAATTCGTGAAGCATCGAAGATAGTGCTCTAGTACCTGATTTTGGCGTTCAGTTTGGCCATCCGTTTGTTTCTTTGCTATCTGAGACTTCTACTGCCAGTTTGGTAGTTCCAAATGAGCGCGTTGGGTGGCCGTCGAATCCTTCAATTGTGCATGGAGTGCGCTCTGTAGGTTGTAAATCGCATGATTTGGCCCAGAATTCGCTAATAAAACTCGCCTGAGCTCCGGAATCTATAAGGGCAAGAATCGGCGTGTCCCCTGCAGGTATAGGGATTCGGACAGGAAGAAGAAAGGATAGACTTGATGATTGCTGGCTTTTAGATGTATTAAGAATTGTCATTGGCATGAATGACACTCCTTATTCGTTTTTAGCCTCATTAGGTTTTGGTTCGAAAGAGGGTTTTGGAGGAAACTTTAGGGTTGAGAAGTTGTCACTGTGGAGCTTGTTCCTCTGAGCCCTGCAGTCCGCGTTGGAGTGTGTCATGCTCTGGTAGACATCGCATCAGGTGTTGAAGCGCTCTTTGCGTTTTCAGCCGTCATTTCGGGCGCGGCTGGCGCGACACCATGTGAATTGTTTCCGCGACTAGCGCTCTTTTGTTGCGCAGCTGCGCTCGATGGTGTGGTAATTTTCTTGATGTTGCTTTCTATGATGCCCAGTCTCATGATGAAACCATCGTAGGAGAGGTCATCTAGCTTGACTGCATATCTCTCAAACCCTGCACGGAAAGAGGGTAGGATCTTATCAAATATATGTATCTTTCGATGATAATGAGTATACTTCTTGCGGAGATCCTCTTCAATCGACTGAAGAGTAGATACAAAGTCATGTATAGTTTGGCCCTCAGATTGCTTTAGTTCTTGATATTTCAACTCGCAGTCCTGGTTTGCCTTGTCAGGATTGATAATCCTAGCATGAATCCAGTTGCAGAATTCATTCCAGGTAATAGGCGTCTCCAGGTTGGTGTAGTATTGTTGCCATTTTTGTTGAAGTTTGGCATTGACAATGCGTTGCTGCTGCTGCTTCACGGATTTTGCATTCATCATTGTTTTCAAAGTATTGGTTTTGATAGGCGTAGAAAGCGAGGCTTGAAGAGATAAAAACTTCTAGATCTTTGAGTGTTTTTTGCTTTAACCTCATTTGGGAGGTTTCGGGTCGGTGTGGACGTGGGATTGTTATTTGAATGTCCGCGGTAGACAAGGTTAGCACCAATAGTGTGATCAGTTGGCTCTGTTTCGCGCTTTTTGCTCTCAGAGGCTTGGATTTCTGCGTGAAGAGTGTTGATTTGTTGTTGTAGATCAAGGAATTTTCTGTATCTTTCTAGGCGTTCTCGTTCGTGTTCAACTGCCTGGATTTCCTCTTCAGTTGTAGACTTTAAGATCTAAGCCTCTTCAACATTCTTCTGTACATAGTTGCGCCATGTTGTTGGTAGAGCTGAGTAAAAGATATCAAATATCAGATTTTCAGCTGGAGAGATCTCCAGCATCTCTAACTTGGTGAGAGCTGCGTGAAATTTATCAAAGGAGTGTATATCATCCACCTACTCATTTGCAAGAACTGTAAAGGTCGTAGAAGCCTCCCTGCGAAGTTAAGTCCTATTACTGAGTATTCCTCCTCAATTAAATGCCATAGGGTATAGGCGATGCGGATCTAGTCATTCTTTAGAAGGTGTGCTTTTAACACTGAGGCGCTCAACGAGTTGGATAAAAAGGCGTACATCCATCGGTTCTTGGCTTCCCAGAAGGGAGCCCATTCAGAATCCCCAAGGGGATCACATGTTTGCTCTTCATCAATTAATCCAGTATTGGACATCTACTAGCCTCGATTTCGTCGAAGATCTCCAAGTCACATAGTTGAGTGTCAGGTAAGGCACTTGGCTTGCCAATGTACTTGACATCTCCTTTGAACTGACTAATTGCCTTGCCAACACGGCTATCAGGGTCGTAAAGATTATACTGGAGTTTGCTGACAATCTCTGGCTTCCAGGTTGTATCACGGGTCACAGAAGAATTGGCAATTGTAATGTTGTTGTCAGCAGCTCGGGCTGCTCGAACCAGAGCTTTACATTTCTCCCTATTATTTTCCAGTTCCAGCTGCATTCTACTAAGAGAATGGTGGCTAGAATCATCATCATCAGGCCTCTGCCAGTCGGTGTATTGAGGGGAAAGTTGAATCGAGGAGGCCTAACAGTTGCAGGAGATGTAGGGAGATTGAGATCTGAGATCCCAGGGAATCGTGGACAGTAGAGTCCTCAAAGGATCCGGTAGGAGGCTCTCGGGAGGTATGGGATCGATTTGAGGTAACTGATCCGTCTGAATTTATTCTCATTCGGGATGGCGAAGGCGAAATAGGTGATCACACTGGATTAGCCATCCTTGTTGTTGATTTGATTGATCAAAAGATCGAAATATAGATAAGAAAAGGGCTTCTAGGAGGTCTTCTCTATTCTAGAGAGGGACCTCGTCGAAATTCGCTTCTCTAGAGTGATACTTTGCGTGTCGCCAGAGATTCAGGAACGCGTCAAGAACTCCACCAAATAGGGAGCGTAGGTCTCTTAATATATATAAAAGATAAATAAGATGATATAGATCAAATAAAGCAAGCAGTCGCTGATTTCGACAAGATAACTCCCGAATTGGCCGCGTTTGGAAGCAAAACGGGACTCAAACCCTGACAGAATGGCAAGCCTTGGTTGATTGCAGAGTTTGGTCGCTATGAGAACGACTATATATGGTGGAAAAGATGTCGCTTGACGGAAGTGTCCGACACTGTGGAATGGTGGGGTAGCCCCACCACACGTGATATAAGCGTAGTAATCGTGCCGCTGCGCAACCCACACCTTCATGTGGGTGCGCCACACCAAAACGATAAAAAATCTTGAATCACATCCTCATTATTGCACTCTATATCAACAACCAGTAGCTAATCTATAATAAAAAGATTATCCACATCATTCTCAGTATGTGTGCCATCTCTAAATTGATTTAATTCCTCTTCTGTCAGTGGTGTGAGTGGGTTATTGCCAATTTTCATGGGATCAACTCCAAGCCTCCGTCACTCCTTATTCTGCTCTTTTTCAGCTTCATTATCCTTACGCCGCTTGATTTTTCTATTGGCATCTTTAATAGTGAGGACTCCCCCTACTTGAACCTGGCGACGGGTTGTTTTAGCTCTGCGGTGTTTACTGGCGTTGAGAAAGTTCTCTAATTCAGTGGTCTGTTGCTCATTAAGTTCCGCGTGGATTAGACTTGCTTTGAATATCTTGTTCAAACGACGTGTCAAGGTGGGTGATTTCAAATCAAGAGTATCTCTAATACTTTGTATGGCGTTTTCCGCAATATTAATATGGCGTTTCAGCTTTTGGATTGTCTTTGGTGAGGATAGCTGAGAAGAAGAGAATAGGTATGTGATCTGAATCATTCTCATCTTCATAAATCTGCATTGGAGGAGGTGATGAGATTCGCTGCTTAAGAGTGTCAAGAACTCGGTCGGGATTCCATGGATATATGCCACGTTGAGCCCATCCTGCAGCTATTGTAACGGGTTTAAAGGTCTGCTTTCGCATAGCTGAGAGGTCTTGTAGGAACTGCCGTTTTTCATACTTAACAAGACCATGGCGTGCGGCATAGTTGACTGCTTTTGAATGGTAATGCTTATATTGCTGAAATGGTAGACTATCCAGAGGTTGTAGCAAATGAGTGGCATGCGATGGAAATCCATATAGAATTATCTTATGAAGATCCGCGTATTGTATGAACTCCTCAGTGATATGAGATCCATGATTATCCATTAAAAGCAATCGATGACTTCCCCTCTGTCTCTTTTCTGTAGCAGTATTGAAATGTTTGAGCCATTCAAATCCAATCTCATCATTTGTAAATCCAGTATCTGATATAGCAATTCTATAATTGCTGGGTAAATCTGTCTGCGTATACCAATCCTCCAAGTGTGTTTTGGAGGCCAAGATTATCAATGGCGGAATGACATGATTATCCATGGATACACATTCAATGACTGTAATCAAACCTCTTGAAAAGGATGAAGGAATGATGGAATTAGCTTCTTTAAAAGCAGTTATAACCCATTCTTCACATCCTTGTCCTTCTTGAAATCCAATCTCATCGAAGTTGTATGTGTCACAGGCATGAAATTGATACTGCTCAAATAGAATCCGGAGACGTTCAAACCATGTATTGATATATCCAATATCTTCAACAACTGCCACTCTCTTTGGATCCATTGGCTTCTGTTTCACCCTCTTATACTCAGGTAGGCGTTCAATGAACCTATAAGTCCACATCTTGCTGACTTTTGAAGGAGAGGTAGTAGGATCTATGTGCTGACGTCTGAGCATTGAATTTGCGAAATCTTCAATCTGTTCGGCTGTGGGAGGACAATTCTTTTCATCAAGCAGCTTGACCCATCGTTTAATTGCATCCTCCTGACTCTCATTTAATCTCTTGTTAACTGGAGTCTTTGCAGTATTCGGATTCCTTCCATTGATACGCGCTCGGAGACGTTGATAAGGAACCTCAAATTCTCGTGACAGAGGCAGTATTTTGGAATTTGGGTTTTTTCTTGGTGGTAAGCGACAGCTTTTTGAATACGGTCTTCGATATTTTTATCCTTATTCGACATTGTGGTGAGTTATTAATTGATGAAGATTATGAAGATGATGAAATTGCAAGATTTTTATCGTTTTGGTGTTTTTATCGTTTTGGTGTGGCGCACCCACACGAGGTGTGGGTTGCGCAGCGGCACGATTAGTAAATAATAAAATGCCTAAATGCCACTATGCCCAGAGGTTTGGTTATTCCGTCTGCTGCATATCCCCAGTGGGAACGTGGTTAACCGAGATAATCCCTTTATTTAATTGTGTGAGAGAATAGTGGAAGTGAGTGTTAATATGCTTGCTTCGCGATGTGATCGCAGCAATGGTAGCTAGGTTGATCAAACCCTTGTTATCCGCCCTGATCGGCAATTTGACTGCCAGATACTGCAAGCACCCTACTCCACGATGATATCGTTCTTTGGTGAACCCTCCTTCTCATTCTGATGCAGGGGCATCATCGATCTTCAGTCCTTCTAGCATTGGCGTAGGGACGGGGACAGCATCATCTAGGCGGAAATCCTACACTAAATGATTGATATAACGTAAACCGCCACACAACGCACGCCGCCACACAACGCACGCCTCTACAAGCAAGCAACCACCCAAGGAATTCCACCAATTTCTCAACCACCCATGAATTTATTTAATTTAAATTAAAAATATATATCTAGTAGAAGGAATAGATCATATAAAAATGTATAGTTAATCCAAAAATCTAGATGGAAGTCGAATAATGCGGCCACAACGTGATAATTGCGGGGTGGGCGAAGAAGGAATTGACGGCGACGTGGAGGAACTGCTAGAAGAAGTAGGTCGTAGGGAGCTTGCTGATAGGCGTGTAATTGACTGATTACCGGATTGGGAAGGTTGTATAGGGTTGGCCTGGTTAGATTTTTCGCCAGGCCCCTGGCTTCGTACGGCCTTTGTAGGGGATTTGGCTGACCTGGCTGATCTGGCGGCGGCAACGAGATTTTGATCTCTAGAAAGCTTTAACTCTCTAGTAGCTTGCTGAGCAGCTTCCTTATCAGTCTTCTTTCGCTCAGCAGCTAGTTTACGAGCAGCCACGCGAGCAGCAACCTCAGCTTTTTGTCTCTCTCGCTTCTGAGCATTAGCCAGCCTAAGAGCTCGAGTTGCAGCTTGCTTTGCAGCTTTTACGATCGCTTTCTCTTGACGTAATATATCCTGTTGAAGCTTGCCTGCTGCTTTTTCAGCAGCCTCACTAATCTTAGCAGCCTCGTCGGTCTCAAGCTGCTGACGTGCTGCCGCAATCCTAGAAGGTGAAAAGAATTGAGCAGCACGCGAATTCTCTTTATCCACAAGACCTAGAGGCTTTCCACGTTGGCGGCGCTTCTTCTCCTTTCGTAAAGCTTCGTATAGAAGCTTATTTTCATGCTGCAAAATCTCTTTTTCAAAAACTAGTCTTTCACTAGCATGAACGATTTTTCGGAACCCAGTAGAGATTCTTCGCCGTTGATTTAACTTCTTAACTGCCCGTCGCAGTCCTCGTATGGTAGTGGGTGTGACTGGCTCTGCTGTGACTGGAGTGCTTGGTCTAGCAAGCTTGCTAAGCACCCGATCTGGTGAGAGAGGATAAATGCCAGTAGCAGCAAATCCAGACTCTATATTTGACTTCGTGACAGCTTGCTTCCAGGCGTTGTGGAATAATAAAAAGAAGTTGCGTTTTTTAATGGATACACCTCCCATTGCTGAGCGTAAGAATAAATCCACCTGCTGAGAGTATGCCTTTGATAAAGGTCCAAAAATACCAACATCCAAAGGCTGCAAGCGATGAGTTGAATGAGGCGGCAGTACAGCAAGGATAATACGATTTTGATCAGCGTAGTTGATGAATTTCATATTGACATGAGAAGAATGGCCGTCAAGGATGAGCAGGCGCCAGGCTCCATTCCTAGCCTTTGTATGAGGATTAAAGACCCGTTGCAGCCAATGTAATCCATATTGATCACTGCTCCAGCCGTTCGGGGAGGCAGCAAAAAAGACCTCATGCTCTTTAGAATCAAAATCTTCTAGCCACGTATCTTGCAAATCCCCGGAGTCTGACTGATATATAAGACCTGGCGGCGTTGACCTTCCACTGGCTGATATGGCGGCTAGCAAAGAGATGAATTCTCTACTCCCATCCTGAATCGTGCCTAGCAAGCTCCCGCTCTTAAGCTGCTGTACAGAGACTATTCGCTTGCTGATTTGCATGACGCCCATAAGAAAGCCCTTCTCATCAAGATTCCACGTATTAGATGGTCGAATGTTGAATTTTTTGACCTTTTCGTCTAGCTAAGATGCTCAAGCATTAGCAACCCCTCATTAAATTGCAGGCAATGTAAATAAAAATCAATCAAATACAAGCTGGAAAAAGTGCTGAAAATACTCAGAATTATCAGCTCTCTTGCGTTTTTGATCAATTGCTCGTAAATATAGGCTTTTGATGCGATCCTTGTGGCGTTGACAAAATCTAGAGATCCAATGCTC